TCCCTCCCTCCCTCCTCCTTTCCCTCCTTTCCTCCTCCTACTCATCCCTCACTCTTTCTCTAACTTTTTCTTTTTTTAACTTTCAAAAATCTATAAAAAAATATTTGTTATAACAAAAAATTTATTAAAAGCGATCATGATTCAAATAGATACAAAATTACGCAAACGTTATTTCAATATCTCACTTAAACAATATTTATTGGCTCAATAAAGAAATATTTCTTTTCTTATCTAACACGTTAAACATCATAAAGCCATGGAAATCTTTACTTTATTTCACTTTAATTTTATATTTTTTTACTGATCGTAGTATCATTTTAGCACATTACATATTTAACGTAAATTATCACATCGAAAAGATTTCTCATAATGATAGTAAATGCTACAACTACAAGATCTAACAGATCAATAAATCGATGTGATCACTGATATTATAAATTCACAATTCACAATATTGTCGTTTAACGTGTTAATCCACTGAGAAAATATTTCCACTTCAACTTTAAAAAGCAAAAAAAAACATTTCATGTATTAGAAACCAATTCTATAATTACCTCTCAAATAACTTAATCCATTAATCCATAAAGAGAAATACGAAATTGCATTGAAAAAATTAAATTGAACGAGAAATAAGAAATACAACCAAAATTCGAGCCATTCGAAATAGCTTAAAAAAACGAGGAAAATTCTTTAAAAAACTAAACAGCCAGTGGAGAAAGATTGGAGGGGACTGGTCGGCATTGATCATCCATAAACTTTTTAGGAATTACTATCAGATAGCAGCGATGAACGATCGGAATACTGGAATATATCGACTAGAAATGGCCGCAAATGCAGAGGCAGGCGAAGTCGAGCTTGTCCCGGATTTTTTAAAGCTTGTAGTGCCTTTTTGGCTTGTGCCTCTGTATTAGCAACCGCTAGTTTAATTTGGCTGTTCATCGACGTTCGTCAGCAACTCACTGCTCTACGGACCGAACTGGACCAAGGTATATTGCACTTTTAGGAAACGTTGATGGAAGAGACCCTTCTAAAAATGCATTTCACTTCAATCCTCGGACGGTTGACTGATAGAGAGCGACTGCGAGCTGCCGACTTTCATTTTTTTAACTCGTGCTAGTTTCTCCGTCAAAATAATATTTGAAAAAGAGAAAATAATTTTGAAATAGCGTAAAGGAAAAATAATTTTGAAAAAAATAATAAAATAAAACCGATGGAAGAGTCGACCGCCCGAGTATTACTTCGAAATTTAAATCTAATTTTAGATGCGTGTTAAGTATGGGATATTTTTAATAATATATATAGGATATTTATAATATACAGGGTGTCCCATTAATCATAGCTCGAAAAAGAATGATTTTATTTAAGAGAATGAATCGAAAATACATACTTGGAACATAACTTCTTTATTTGAAGTTTTGTTTTCAAGTTTAAAAATTTCTCGAGTATATGTGAATTTAATTAATTTATGAATAATTTTACATGTAAAAATAAATTGAAATAACATTTTTTGTTTGGTTTTTTCGTTTTCGTAGAAATCAAATTAATATAAAATTATTCGATTTAATTTAAATACTCGATATTTTGGAGAATTAGATATATGCGTATTTACATTTTCA